ACACACACACACACACACAAAACACTCCCCACTTCTCTACACACACACACCACATACCTCATCCCTTTCCTCTCCATACCCCAATACTATGCTCTTACACAGACACACATCATACACATATAGGCTTCTCCACACCTATCCCCCCACATGTAGGTACAACCCCATTCCCCCATACACACACAGAAACACCTCCCACAAACAGACACATGCCAAATATACTTCACCCTTATTCCTCCCTCTCACTGTTCTACACCACACACACACACACACACACACACACACACACACACACACAGAGACACACACACACACACACACACACCCACAGACACACACACACCACACACACACACACACACACAGACACATGCCATAAACCCTAACTCCCCTCTACAGAGAAACACATATATGAAGCACACAGAGACACACACTCATGTAATTTACTTTGTGTCATTGCATATTGTTTCTACTTGGCTACCTTTATTCAATGACACATGTGACCTTCTTTCCACACTCACAACTGTAGATTTATTATAACATCAAGGGCACATGGAATGTTTTACATATAGTCTTATTACAGCCATGCTTTCCTTGATTTGACAAGGAGCTATAGAGACATATGAAACATTTATCTCACCACTGTGTTGCCCCCAAGGTGCTTATGATTTCAAATATTTTTTCAAATATTATTTTAATTGAAATAGAAGTTTGTCACTTTTTTCCTTCCACTTCCTCCCTCCAGTCTTTTGTGGCTACCCTCTCTTGAACCTCTTCCATGCTTCTCCCTTCCCCAAGTTGACAGCTTCTTTTTATTTGATTATTATTGTTACACACACACACACACACACACACACACACACACACACACACACCCCTCCATGAATATAATGACTTAGAGAGAGAAATATAAAATGAATGTGCCCATCAGTATTTCTGACATAGTTCAGAATTTGAGAAATCTGTTCCACTGATGGCTTTCTTGGCAATCTTGAATATAATAAAATTTGCCTCACTATTAAAAAGAAGACTGAGAGCCGGGCGGTGGTGGTGTTTGCTTTTAATCCCAGCACTCAGGAGGCAGAGGCAGGGAGATCTCTGTGAGTTCCAGCCTGGTCTACAGAGAGAGAGTTCCAGGACAGGCTCCAAAGCTGCAAAGAAATCCTGTCTGGAAAACAAACAAAAAAGAAAGAAAGAAAAAGAAAACGGAGGTCTGAGAATATAGCTCAGTGGTAGAGAACTTGCTTAGCTAGTTTAAGGCCTTGTGGTGTTTGGGATGACAATGGCTCACAGAGGTTCATAGATCTGAATGCTTGGTCCTATTTAAAAGGACTAGGAAGTGTGGCCTTGTTGGAAGTGTGTCACTGGGGGTAGACTTTGAGGTTTCAAAAGCCCATGCCAAGCCCAGAGTCTTTCTTTCTTCCTGTTGTCAGCACATCTGGATGTAGAACACTTAGCTACTTCTCCAGCCACGTCTGCCTGTGAGCCACCATGCTCCTCACCATGATGACAATGGACTAAAACTCTGACCTGCAAGCCACCCCAGTTAAATGCTTTCTCTTATAAGAGTTGCTGTGGTTATGGTATCTCTTCACAGCAATAGAATACTGACTGAGATGGGCCTTAAGTTCTGTTTTCAGAATCAAACAAAAATGCCCTCTCCCCGCATTTTAGAAATAGAGAGGTGGCTCAGAGGTTAAGAGCACTTGCTGTTCAAGGACCTGGGTTCAGTTCTAAGCACCTGAATTGGCAGCTTTCAACCATCTGTAGTCCAGTTCCAGGGAGCTGGCACCCTCTTCCTGCCTCTTTGGGTACCTGCATGCATGCAGTAGGCACATACATATACACACAAATAAATATTTAATTAAAAAGAGCAGACTTCGAGTTTGCACTGAAATAGCCTGACTTCAAGTTCTTTAAACTAGAAACCATTGGGACACACAAATTAGTCTTATCAAGTTTTTTTTCATTACATTGCTGGTTAAACACTAAACAAGTATCATATTTATAACTGTATGAGAGGCCCACTTATATTCAGTGGGCAACTGATATATACTGGGCCGCCCACTCCGTTTTGATGTCTGTTGCTTCACTGAGCTGTAGCAGAGCAAAAGGAAAAGATACAGCTGATTGTGAAATCAAGAAGTAGATCGGCAAGGTGGCCATCTCAGCAGGCAGTACAGAAGCCCAGACCCGAGTCCATCAATATTTCCTCTTTCTCCTGGGCCTGCTTTTTAACAGATACTACAAGGCCGGTAGGTAGAGTGAGAATCTGAGTATTACACACAGTGGCCAATTAAACAGTCCACTGTGGCTTAATGACTGGTCACATATAATCAAGTCATCTAATTACAGATTTTGAGGACTAAATTGTTAAGCTTATGTTTTAGCTAGAGTAAGAAAAATACAAACTGATCTCTGGACAAATAATTGTAAAGACAGGATTTTACTGAATGACTCCTGAGCTTCAGGCATGCTTCTAAGCATTGGGACCCAGACGCCACAGGGTCTCTGAGTTGTTTTACAGTTGTTTAACCACAGGTACCTCCTGTTTATCTGACCTCACCCTACTAGCATCAATATCCTGTTGTGAACCCTTTCACCTGTGGTTTTTGTAAGTTTGTATATAAGGCTGCTCCACAATAAAGGTGAGAGACATTCTCTCAGAAAAGAACCAGGAGTCTTGTGGTTCATTCAAATCTCCAGGCTTTCGCACAATACTCGGAGTTAGTGGCCAAGAGCAGCCACATCTAAGTGCCTTACATGGGTAAATTCCCTTCATATTTGTGGCTGGTGTAGTATGTTCCTACTGCTGTCTACACCTCAATCTGGAGTCCGTAAGTATAGTGTATCACACAGCAAGGGGGCTTTACAATGTGATTACGTGAAGGTTGCTGAGATGGGGTGTGGTTCTGGATCAAACACAAAGGCCCATGTCCATGAGAAGGTGGCAGGAGGCCACTTCAGGCTGTGCAGATGGAAGAGTGGGCAACTTCTGTAAGCTGGGACAAGTGAGAGGTTTGTGTTCTTCTCTGGATCTCCACAAGGAAATTCGGCCTTGACAAAACCTCGACTCCGGACTGCCAGAATCTTTTTACATCTAACCACCAGAAGAGATGGGCAACAGGGTGTGTTGTTGAAGCCACTGCATTTGTGATTAGTTCCACAGCAATCATTAGGCTCATGTGATGATAACCAGCAATTCCCAAAGCACAGGTCCTCAGAGATATTTCACACCTATTGAATTGATCTGGGACTTGAAAACAGAAGTCCTAGTTTTCAGAGTCTGTGAACTGGAAGCTTTAATGGTACTCACCTTGTGGTTTTCATAAAATTATAGCTTTGTAGACATCTTGCAAGTACTTTCATCCTTAAAACTGCCCAGCTCAGCAGAGACAAATACCTAATGTACATTACTGCAGGTAGGACATCACTTCTCTGAGGGGATTGGATACTAATATTTCTGTGTCATCATCATCATCATCATCATCATCATCATCATCATCATTATAACTACCACACACCATCTCCACCACCACCATCACCATCCTCATCCTGGAGCCAGGCAGGAGTTAAACATGAGAGAAAAAAGGCAACTGCAGCAGGATTAGATTTCGGTAGCAGCATTTCCTGATGGTCAGGATGCCCTTTAGTGGCTAGGTAGCTCTGAAGCTGCAGTGAGGTTGTTCTGCTAGACAGAAACCCAGCTACCAGCCGCCACCCTTGTACAATAGTGAAGGGTCTACATCTAACTATGACATCATTCACACTCATTTTTAACCCTTGCTTTTTTGTGGGCTATTCTAGTGGAAGCAACCCTAAAAGGGAGATCTGGTCCACCGTATTCCATGAATGTGCCATTCATCTCAAAAATTGTTATGAAACATTCTTGAAAACTCATGGTGCAGAATGCAGTGGGCTGTTTCCCCTTTGGGGGCAGCCAGCTCCGGTCTTTCTTTGGAGTGCTCACTTTGCTCTGCTTTGCTAAAGAAACTGCTTAACCTGTCTGTGCCTCTCATTGAATTCTGGGATCATCCTTGTGGATTCCTGGGAGTTTCCTTGGCATATGGAAGAATAGATCCCATAGGCACCCAAAACTCCAGACCTGTTTGTTATTGTTAGAAAGGCAAAAATCAAAGAATATTTTACAATGCTGTTATGAACATGTGTTCCTGAATACATCATGCATCCCGGGGACATTCTGGCTATACATGTTGTATAGCATTCTGCCACTCTGTGAAGATCCCAGGCAATACAATCTTAAATTTCAGTGTGAGCACAGAGCCTGAATGACATGCACATTGTCAAAATTAGTTTAAATAACAGTACATATTACATCTGGAGAAAAAGAAAATGAGAATTAAGACATTGTTTTTTTTTTCTTATTGTCTATAACCCTTGTCTTTAAACAACTTGTTCCTTAGATTTGTGGTTGGTTTTTTTGTATTAGTAATTATTAGTATTTTAATGACCATTTGCATCCAAGTAGAATGTATTTAGAGAAACAATTCTTATAGAACTATATGTGATTTCACTGGCTTTAGAAGCAATCTGAAAATTCAACCAACCTGTGTAGCAATCCTGGCTATCTTGGAACTCACTTTTGTATACCAGGCTGGCCTCAAACTCACAGAGATCAGCCCATCTCTGTCTCCTGAGTGCTGGGATTAAAGGCATACGCTACCACTGCCCTGCTTGGTATGCCATTCTTAAACTTGAAAACATGATATCAAAATGAGTATAACCTTATGATATTTCAAAAGCCCGAGTGTCTGTGTTTTGCTGTTGAAGGTGTACTTACAAGGTTCATTACATATTCCTGTGTTTCTGTTAAGTGGCTCTTCTAATAAATGGCTGAAAAAAAAAACCCTAACTTTTTAGAAGTAATTGTATATTCCAGTATGTTTTTATTAAAACTAGAGTCAGAACCATTTTTCAGAGCACTGAGACCTCTAACCCACTGAGGGAGAGAGACAGAGGCACTGGAGGAGAATATGACTAACCTTGTTTGAACACGTGCATGCTCCTGTTTCCAGTGCCGGCATCGACAATGTAGCCATGCTGGGTCCTCTGGTCACTTTATAATTCAGGAGTCTGTGAGGCCCATCCTGATGGTCTGCTTGTAGATACTTGTTGGTAATGAGGAAACCCAAGTGCCCAATGTGAAGGAACTTCAAGGCTGAGGCTCCCCTGTTAACGGCAATCTGTGGGGGCCTGTTGCCAAAGGGGCTTATCTGAATCCGCATTATCTGAGGTATGTGTGTCTCCTGGCCAATGTCTGGGAAGATGTAGAACCCAGTGTGAGTGCCATCAGACACAGTGAAGGAGAAACTGTCATCAGTTGTCTCACTGCCATCATGACAATAGAGAATCAGGCTCTCAGTCAGGTCCTTCTTGGTGAAAGTGGTCATAGGATGGCTAGCATTATACAAAATCCTGCCATGGATGGGGACCTGGGTGATGGTGAAAATAATAAAATTATCTGGAGTATCCTCATCTTCCACTGTCAACTGAAAAGGAGTGACCTCTATGCTGTCCCCTCTTTGCAGTGTTAGTGTTCGGATGGTCACAGTTGGTTGCTTATTGTCCACATCTGTGACAAATATCCTGAAGATTCTGAACACAGAGCTGTGTCCACCAGTCACTCAAAGCTCAAAATGTTCCACCTTTACCTCATCCTTTGAAGTATGAACATAGGATATCTTGTTGCCAGCCAGTTGAACCTGAGTAAAAGAAGCCATGGGCCCCCATGCTGGTCAGAACTTTCCAAGTGGCCCATGCTAGGAGCTTGTGTAATGCTATAGTGAAGTTCCTCACCAAAGCTGTGATTGTCACTGGTATTAAACAGTTCAGTGGTGAGGGTCACTCTGCCATCTTCTGTTAAGGTAACCCTTTTGCTGACAATGTCGGGGGGGGGCACTGTTTGAGTTGCCAATGGTGATATAGAAATAGCCGTCTCTCAGAGGGTTAACTCCATCAGTCACATCAAATTTGAAAAGATCAACAGCCTCCTCCTGGCCTGTGTGGGTATAACTGATGAGGTCTCTGTCAATTTCTCCCTGGGTGAAATTCATTCCCACAGTGAGGTTGTTCCTCACGTCTCCTCCTGGCTTCCTCAGTCGTTGTAGAAGCCCCCATTGAGGCTCAGACTGGAGAACAAAAGTGAGACCCTTGTTATCAAGGGTCAAGATCTATGGCTTTGAGCATATGATTTGTGATGATTTCAGAGTGTCCAGTTTCTTCCTCCAGCCCATCACTGATGGTCAGCTGAGGGGCCTCATCATCTACCAAAATTACAACAATGGGCATCTTTTTGTGAGTGGTGTGCTTGCGGTCACTCAGCCAGATCTCAAAGCTGTCCTCCGTGCTCTCTGAGCCATCATGCTCATAGGCGACGGAGGAGGCCTCTTGGATCTCCTGCGAGGTGAAGCAGTGAATGGGCTTGCTGCCTGTGGCAAGCTGCTGTATGATTTGCCCGTGCTGGGGGAGGACTGTGAGTCGAAAACAGAGCTTGTCTGGTGGGAGGTCAGCATCTATTGCATCGAGCAGTGGGGTATCTATGACTCGGCTCATTCCCTCTAATACCACGAACTCACGGGGGACAAGTTTGGGCTGCTCATCATTGGTGGGCAAGATGGTCAGAGGGAGGAGGACATCTGGGGAGAAGTTGATGCCATCAGAGCAGTAAAAGGAGAACTGATCTGTTTCTGGTTCTACCCCCCTGTGGATACTTTGTACGTAATTGATATGCCCGACTTGGACATCCTTGATGAAGAAGGCACTGATGGGGTGGCCAGCCCGTGACACTTCTGAACTGGGAGCTGGTGCTAAGATTTCCAGGTAGCCATAGGATGGCTGTCCAGTCAGAGTGCAAAGGACTTCATCTTTGGAAGTGTCCACGTCTTCAGCGTTGAGATGTTGTGTGGTCAAGAGGCTCTTCCCACCTTCGTACACAATGAAGGGCTCTCCCACCAAGACCTTGGGGGCCATGTTGTCCACTGGCAGCACTGTCACCTGCACCAGCACCCTCTCCAGTATGTTGTCCCCCATGGACGAGTGATAAGAATCTTTGTTGAGGATAAGGCTAAAAGCATCATGCACCCTTTGGAAGCCAACATCACCTCCAGTGTGGACGTAGGTTACTACCCCACCAGTGAGGTCCTCCAGGGTGAATTGTTCTGTGGGCAGACCATTCATCAGAACAGAGCCCAATTTAGGCTTGTCCTCCACAATGAAAGATAGCATTAAGTCCTTCCCGTCCTTTCTGCTGTGATTGACACCCACGTGTCAATGTAGCAGCATTCTCAAGTACAGCTATGGAAATAGCCAATATTGGAGAGCCAGTCATAAAGACCCCAGGACATCCATCAGCCACAATGAGATGCACAGAAATCCGGACAGTGATGGGTGTACGGTGCACCCCATCACTTACCTCCAGGTAGAAGATGTCACTGGTAGTCTGGTCTCTACTATGCTGATAAGAGATATTCCCATTAATAATATCAGGTAGCATGAAAGATTCTCCTGCAACCATATATTTTTTAAAGCACCACAAGTGTCCATGCTGGGGACCCCAGACTAAAGTGAAGAAAATTTGATCATCATCTGTGTCAGGGTCTGTAACATCAAGTTCACTGTTGCTGAGAATAAAGCTGTCTCCCTCAAAGACAGCAAAGCCCCTATTGATGACTTTTGGTGGCTGGTTGTTCAAAGGCTGCAGGAATAATGTGACTGTACCTGGCACACCATTGCCTGCAGCATCTCCCACCTGGTAGGTGAATTGCACAACCCGAGGTATAATGCCCAGATTCTTCTGTGGGTGTTGATAAGCAATTTTTTGATGTTTGACCTGGGCCTGGGTGAAATGAATAATGGATCTATTTGGTGAATCACTGAGCACAATTTCTCCAGCCTGGACTTGGCGGTTGCTGTCAGTATCAGTTGGTGGTGTCAGTAGGGTCATCTGAATTCTGGTCAATGTATTGGAGGAATTTCTTCTGGAAGCGAGTGAGTTGGTATCCTTGCACAGTCACTGTAAGAGTCACTGCCACCATGCTGGTACACCACTCGCCCTGCACTTAGGTCTGCTGGTGTGAAATACTGATATCCCGCAGGTGCCCCAAGCACCACCAGCTGCCCATGTTGCAAACCTCTGACTGCAGCAATTCTTACTTCGTCCAAATTATCTTTATCACTGACCTGAAAACTTTGGCCATTGGACAGGGGCCTTGCCTGGCCTTCAAAAACCAGAAGTCCTCTATTGTAGCTAGTTATTGGAGCCAGGGCTTTCATAGACTTCACCACCACCACGACGGCAAAAGGGTCAGAGGTGTCACCATCTCCATTTATCACCTGTAATTGCTGTCCCCTTCTGAGCTCCCTGTGGGGGATCGAAAGGCAATTTTCAGCTCCCGAAGCTCCTTCTGGGTGAAGAAGGAGACTGGAAGACCCAAGGGGTCATCTGTGTTCACCACATATCCCTGCTGACCATGCTACCCAGGTGGGACCTCAGGGGCATTGAGAATGTTGAAGACTAGGTCATCAGGGTGTGATTCGTTGTCTTCTACAGCCAGAGCATCAGGTGTCAGGGCTGTAAGTGGGGACTGATCAACTTCCACCGTCATTAGAGCGGCTAAACTGGGCCTGGGGGTTGTGCTCCTGGCTGCCTTCTGGATTCTGATTTGAAGCTGGAAGTACTCCTGGGCCAGCACCTTCACTGACCTAGTTCCTTGGGACTCTGACGTTCTACTACCATGGGCACATAGTCCCTGCAGGGTGAGGATGGTGTAGCAGTGTGCTGGTAGCGCACCCCAGCCTGGACAAAAGTCTCACAGTCGGCCAGATGGCCCCTGGAGAGAGGGGTCCCAGTGGCGTCCACCAAGTGCCCGTACTTCGGGAGTGCTCCGCTAGGGTGAGGAAGCAAGGTGAGCTTGCACCTACTCCTGGAGGCGAAGTCTAGCACTCTCCTATTAATGGCGTGGTTGCAGCCTTGCAGTTTAAACACCTTCAAAGGCCTGTTGCGTGTCACCAACTGGAGCTTGGAGAAGACCACGTTCACATTCAGAGTGAAAGGCAGTACCAGCGTGGAATTCCCTGCATCGTATCGCAGCTGCAGCTGCACCCGGGTGCTTGTAGCGCTGGGCGAGCCAAAGTGAGTGTACCTGACCTTACGGACCCCGAAGTCACAGGGAAAGTGGCGCGGGGAAAGCGTGCCTTGGAGCCGCGGGATGTCCAGCACTGTCACCTCACACTGGTCCCCTGGCTGCATTTGAATCACCAAGTCCCCCAGTGGGTCGAGCCAAACCGAGCGGCCCTGAGGCACCTGGAGACCAGGGTTGGCGATCAGGATGTGAGGGTTCTGGTGGCTACCATCATTAAGTGCTCCCCAAGGAGGGAGGTAAAGCTCCCGGTGGGATGCGTCCCCACTCAAGGGTACCGGTCCCCTCAGTGCGCGACAGGTCAGAAGCAGACAAGCAAGAGCCACTACCAGCTGCGGAGACATTCCAGGAGGGAGCAGAGAATCCCCAGCCATGGTTCCCAATGGAATTCTGGAGTTGAGACACCCAGGTGATGCTCACTTAGTCCCAGGTGCTGGCATGGAGGCAGGGGTGCTTTACGGGAGGGCAGAGAGGTTTGGATCCCGCTAGCTCTAGCAGCGGCACTTGAGCTGGGGGCTCTCTCTGTCTTCCGAGTTCCAAGTCTCCACTGGTGCCAGTGGCCACCCAGATGTGCCCCAGCTAGTAAGCGTGCAGGCGCTCCCTCTCCACTCAAGTGTCTATCCCAGTTACCTGGATCTGTCAGGGTGCAGCCTCCTACTGGCTTGTCCGGATACCCTCTTTTCTGGGAGCCACCAAAGAATTGTCCCTCAGGTCTGGGAGACCGAGGGCGACAGTTCCTGAGTGAGTTCTGGGAGTGGGAGACACCGCTGGCGCGGTCCATTCACCCAGGAATGGTGTTTCTGCTGGAGCGCGAGCCAGAGTCCTTCCCTTATCGCTGACAGGAGGGTTTTTTCTTGTTTTTTTCTTGCCAAGTTGAGTTTCACTCTGGACTTATTAGAAAGCTTGAGGGACCGATTTGGAGACTGATTTTTGCAAAAAGGATTTTCTGTCTGTCTTGAGGTAATTCTGCACTTGCACAGCATTTTTTTTTTTTTTTTTTTTTTTTTTTTTTGGGGGGGGGGGGGGCTTTGGGGGGGCCCCCCAAACAACAGGAGGCTGGGGGTGGGGAAGCAACAGCTTCAACGCCAGCAAACTTGAATGGTCGGTAATCTGTTCTTAGTCAATAGGCAATAGGTCTCACATAAAGCAATTGGGCGTGCAGGTTAGGTTGGCCCGGCTTTCTTAGAATGTGGTTTCCATACCTAGACATGGCTGTTTCCTAATTACTTTCTTTGTTGAAAAATATATGGTAGTCAGAGGTGAGGAGGCAGGAGCAGTAGTATCAAAATATCCCACAAATAAATCTCTGTGAATCGATTCACCCAACACTTGGAATCAGGCTTTCAAATGACCATGATTCCTACCTGAGAGTGGAGTGAGAGGCAGGTCCTGGCTTGTCTTCATTTCTTAGGGACTAGAAGAGTTCAGGCTGCCACCGTG